GATGCCTCTTGTCAGGAGACCCAGAGCTATACTGGAGCTTCACGGCATTTCTAGGGCGATGACCCCAGGGCCTAATGAGAATGTAAACCGATATTTGTGAAGTGCAATCCTCGAGGCTCCTGGCAGATGTAATCACAGTCAGGCAGACTACTCCTGTCTCCAAGGGTAGGAAGCCGCAGTGAATTACAGGCGTGAGCCATGGGCTGACCTCAGAGTGGCATCCCCCGAGACAGCAGGGAGCAAAGACAGGAAGTACTTGGCTAAAGTGGTTTTCCCATTCTTTTCATAAGAAACGTGCAACTTCATAAAAAAAAGAGGAGGAGGCACATTTTATTGACAAGAAAAGCTAACCTTTATTTCCTTACTCCACGCCAGCAAAGTATACATCCTTTCTCCTTTCCTCATGGTAGTTGTGCAGAGCAGGAACCATCATTCTTACTTCCTAGGTGGGAAGAACCAGGCTCAAAAAGAAAAGTAGTGTAATTAGCCCAAGGCTGCACACTAGCAAGTGTGAGTCAGGATTTCAACCTCCACAACTCAGTGAGTTTTCCTTGATGACATTCTATTTTTTCATATTGCTGCTGTGACATTCTGATGTCAGAGGAAGTATATATTTGGTCTCTGTCCCAAGTTCCTGGCAGATGCTTAAATCTGTAACCTCCTTAGTGACAGGTGACATTAACAAGGGGGTGGGGATATCACCTTTTGTTGTGTTTGGGTCTAGGCTTCCCTTTCTTGATAGCCCTGGGGTTTTCTGGAATAAGCATCCTTGTGTGTGCTGATGAGGTGACCAGGACTGCAGACAGTTTCAGTCTGAGGAGGGCTGGTGCTCAGAAAACCACACACAAGTAGAGAACTGGGATTCTCAGTCCCTCTTCAACAGGGCTAGAGACTATACTAAACCCCAAAGCCCAGGCTTTGAATCAGTGTGCAATGGAGCCTCTACAAACACCATGAGTGGCAAAGCTGAGAGAGTCTGGGAGGGTCAATGCAGGCAAGAGCCAGGGGTATAGCTCAACCCCACAGCAACAGAGGGGCCTGTGCTCATGACCTCTGACTCCACTCCACACATTTCTATGTGTCAACCTGAAGCTCTGCCACATCATTTTTGACAGCATGAAGAGTTATAATAACAAGTTAGAGGTCAGCCTGGTCTACATAGCTGGTACTAGGACAGCCAGGGCTAGACAGAGAAACCTTGGTGTCTGTCTGTATGTGCCTGTGTGTATGTGAGAGAGACAGACAGACAGACAGAGACAGAGACAGAGACACAGAGACAGAGACACAGAGAGATAGAAACAGAGTACTCATAAGCAAAGTGTTTCCCTGAGCTCTGTGACTCATTACAGCAAAGTGGGACGTGTGGTATCCCCAAGCCAAACAAAGCGTGAGTAACCTTGGGAGCATTACCTGTGACCGCCATCTAAAATGGAGGACACCTTTATGGGACTGAACCTTTAACTCTACATTTACACTGCATCATAAGGGTCAGAATCCAGTTAAACCGTGCTTGGTGTGGGAAGCGTTTATCCGGTGTGAGAAGTATTGACCGAGAAATAATTTCCTTCTACCATTTTCAGACAAGTACTCACACCTACAGCCATGTGTGCATATGAAGAAACACACACACACACACACACACACACACACATGCACAGAGAAATGCATGCACAGAGAGAGACACACACTTTTTATTTTTTCAATTTAGATCAAATGACCTGTACTCCAACATCATGAATGTCAGCATACAGCTAAGATGGCCTCATCCTGAGGGTGCTGGGAATAGTCCCAGAAGTGCAAAGGAATAATCCTAGCACTGACAGACAACTGCATGGTACGAGGTGGCAAGTGAACAAAGGTTTATGGATATCAGGAAGGAGGAATTCCCTCTACCCGTGGTGGGGGGCAGTGCAGAAAGATGCCACAGAGAGAGGAAGGGGAAGAGGGGAAGGAGGGAGGAGGAGGTGTTGGTAGTTGTCCTGGGGAATCAGAAAAGGCCTGACCAGTGGGTGGGGCTTGAGGCCCTGTCCCGTTTTTTTCTCCCTCCAAAACTCACTTTCCACATATATGCAGAGTTTGCATGGGGCTTCCCACAGACAGGCTATAAGGGACAATGGCTCTGTGGCTACTTCCCTTGCTCTGAGAAGCCACTTGCACTCCAAACCAGGCTCTCTTCTGTCTTGCTTTGAGACCTTGGACACAGCACCCAACCTCTTAAGTTCCAGCTTCCTCAACTCCAAAACGGGTGTACCATTCACACCCACTCCACAGGGCTGCTGAAAGGGTTGTGTTTTCAAAGATATGCAAAGCACCTGGCATGCTGCCCAGCACTTAGCACAATGGCACTCTTATTAACTTACTGAAAACAGTGAGGCTCATCGCACAAGGTAAAGCCGGAAGGAGGAGGAAGAAGCTGTGTTGCACTGTGCTTGTTTGTTCTGGAGATCAAACTCATCTCAGGCAAGCCAGAGAGGCAAGCACGCAACAGCTGACTTACAACTCCAGCCCACAAACACTCTCACAACCCAATGCTTCTGCCCCTCTGAAAGTCTCACACTGAAATCCGAACACAGGACACACGATGGTGTTGGAAGGTGGGGCCTGTGAGAGGCAATGACATCATAAGAGTGGAGTCCTCAAGGATAAGATTTGTGCCATTATGAGGCTCCAGGGAGCTCTTGCCCTCCTTCTGCCACATGAGAATACAGTAAGAAGCGAGCCAGCAGCTAGAAGACAGTCCTCACCAACCTGCGATGCTGGCCAGCATCCTGACCTCAGCTGCAACCTGCAGAATGAGGACTCAATCTCTTGTTTCTAAGCAACCCAGCCTATGATACTGTGGTGTGGCAATCTAGACCGACCAAGGACCATCATGAAAGTATAAGAGACCTTCTGAGGAGAGCTTTAAAAAACCACTTCCCTAAGACTTACCATAGTACTGAGCCGAACCTCCCATTCTCTCTGTCCCCTGAGAGATACCAGTTTTGTATTATTGGAACAGACAACTGGACAAGTGACAGTTCTTTGCTTCAATTTGCCAAGTTACGGGTATGTCCCTATGGCTGTCTGTCAGCTGGTTCAGCAAAAGCTCAGTGCAATTCCAGCTTCAAGTGATGAGGTCAGTAAGCCCAAAGCTCCAGACTAATTTCGGCCTATGCTCAGAACCAGTAGCCACCATGTCATTGGCTTTCTTCCTAGCTGAGACCCAGGTCCAGCACTGAAAGCCGGAGGGTTCAGAGGCCTGGGCATCAGTTACATCAAGCTTCCCCTTCTGGTAGTAGGGCCCCTTTCTCTGAGGAAGAAGTGAGACCCTCATCTTTATCTGGATGCTCCCATCAAAGGCTGCTGGCAAGCTAAATTCCCAGTGACAGTTCTGATGGCTTACAAGTGAGTGTCGGCCCTACCAGGGTGGAGCTTTCCCTCATGTTCACTGTGGCATCTGAGTGCCCAGAGCAGCAGCATCGGCCTCAGTGATGAGCACTCAGGACAATCTGAAGTCCTCACGAGCACCAAACACACAGAGCAGTAGCTCACAGCTCTTCACTGAGGCACAGGTTAGTTGGGACCTCCTTGCCACTGCCACACTTTTGATGGTGTACTGTAGCCTCAGCTGGTAATATCACTGCTGGGCCTCTGACAATCCCCCCTTCAGGAAGGTGTGAGCTTTTTTTCTCTTCCAGGCAAAGAGGGTCATTTGCTATAAAACACAGAGCAAGGCCAGCTCTCATCTAATGCATGCTTAGCCCATTTATGCTCACATTGCTGGAAATGAGCATGCCAGCAATGGACGCACGTACATAAGTCACCTCCTCATGGAAGAGACAAAGAAATACTGTGCTGAACCCCACCTGTCATCACAACCCTTTGTGGAGTACTTCATAGAATCTCCTCTTCCCTGGACTAACTCAAAACAGGGCCCTCCAAAGCTCCAATTCTCTGCCTACTCATTATGATCACAGGGCACAGTACAGTCGGCACCCGGCTTTTATCTATATGTAGATATCACAGACACATATTACCAACGCTCAGCTACTGTATTACCCAAACACATTTACTTCTTTTGTTTCATGACTACTTATCACAGCATGGTGATACTAAAAGGGGTAGGGGAAGTCAGAGCACAGTGCAAGAAAGGGGAAATGCATGTAATTTGCAAAAGCACACTCAACATTATAATTGCTTCTTTTGTTCAAGCATAATGTTGAGTATGCTCCAGAAACAACGGCAGAGGAGGCATTCGGATCCTGTTCATCCAAAGGGGTCACGGTTAAAGAAGACTAGAGAACACTGTCCTGGACCCACTGCACACGACAGCTGTGGGAATCATCTGCTCTAACACTTGGCAAAGATAAGGAAACGGCCACCCAGAGAGGCTAAGTGACTTCTTGTTTAAGGGAGCTGTGTAGCGGTGTCACATGACTTCTGTCTGTCCCCATGTCCCCCTGTACTGAGTGGAGTACATAGCTTGCTACTGATGAAGTCAAGGAATTCCTCACAGCCTCAGAGCCCGGATATTAAGATACTCAGGGAAAAATGAGTTCTTAAGCACACTTTACAAAGAGGGGAGAAGACCTCCTCTTGAAAGGACAAGCAGAATAGTAGGTTTTACCTACGTCCTGAGAGCAGCATCCAATGCCAAGGACACTGTGGCCCCTGTGGCTCCAGCCTCCCTTGTGTGTGCAAATCTGGGGAGTCTTTTCTGTAAGCCCCCTTTGGGGGGAGGGGACAGCAGGATGTTTCCTCAAGCCATTATTCTCCCTTCTTCTCGGCTCCCTGTAAAGGCTGCCACCAAGGCACACAAAGATTTCAGCTTAGTCCCATCTACCAAGGCACGCTGCAGGCTTTCTCCTGTTTGCTCTGACAGGAAGGAGCAAGCGAGCTGGAGGACTGAGATCCCACCAGGTCCCCTGTGTGCAGAGGCAGCAGCCCCAGGGCTACCCAGCTGGGAGCCAGGGGTCACTGGCTATCCATGCATCCACGGGGCGCAGGAGTCCACTTACCGCAGTGCGACTGGAAGACCTGTGGCTTGACGACCTGATTGCAGGCACTGCACACAACCAGATAGAAGTCATCATGTGCTGGATAATGGCCAAATAGGTGCATATCTGGGGGAGAAATGAAAACAGTCGTTTTGTAGAGAAAAAAAAAAGCAATTAAGTCTCAGAAGGTATACAGTTTCCTCTTGGAATTTCTTCCAGGGCAAGATTTTCGCAAGACATACATAGACACAGGGGAACACAGCTTGTCACCACATAGCTACCCAACTTGCAGAGAAACCAAGGCCTTCATGAACCCCTCCTTATCCCCACCCCACCCTGGAAGCTGCCTGTGATAGCTACCAATCTGTTTGGCAGTGTTGGGGAACGACAGAGACAAACGCCACAGCTCAGCCTTGATTGCAGGACCGTGTCAAGCAGAGAGGGAAGAATAGGGCTGGGGTTGAGAAGAGAGATGCCTTGGCCTCAGCTGAAAGGCGCAGCAAGGGCGAAGGGGTCTGCTGAGTGAGCAGCCTGTTCACCGCCATCACTGCTTGAGCTCGTTACTGTTCACTTGGTAAGTAACTCCTCAATATACCAGGGACTGTGTCAGGAGCCAGAGGAGTAAGACTGAGGTCGCTGCTCTCCCGAAGCTTATGGTGGCAGAAAGAGAGGGCATGGGTCAGATGGCCACACTGGCTGTCATGTGTGGTGGTGCCAATGGCTGCAAGAACATGTCCTGAAAAAGCTTGACAGGTAAGCCTCACTTAGTCCGAGGAAGCAGGGGAGCCAGCTGAGGCCTGAGCATGAGGGATTAGAGAAACCCCTCTAGTGAGTGGGGGGGTGGTGGAGGGGGTGTTCAAAGTTTAAGCCAGGGAAGGAGGTTCCATACCTTGGAGGCAGCTCTTGTTCTTTTGGTTGAGATAGAACAAGGAGAGGGTTGGGGCGAAGCTGGTGAGGCGCCAGAAGCTATATAGCTGTGTAGACCAAGGAAAGGATTTTGATTTTGATATTAAGGTCAAAGAGGAGCTACTGAGTATTTTGAAGCAGAGATGTAAAGCAATTAGACAGCTACTGTGAGGGGGAAAAAAAAATCAATGTCAGGGCATTCATCTGAGACATGAATGCCTTTGTCCACACACAAATTGTGCACGTGTTCACAGCAGTGTTCTTCATAATAGGCAGTAAGTGGAAACCCAAACATCCACCAGCTGATGAACAACATACAGAACACTGTCCATCAACAAATAGGACAGAGGTATGTTACATGCTTCAACATGAACAAACCCTGGAACCGTCATAGGAAAAGGAAGCAGACACCAGAAGGTCATGATCTGTATGTTTCCATTTATGTGAAAGGTCCAGAGCAGGCAAATCTACACGGATAAGTAACTGCTTACTTTGGACTTGGGAAAGGTAATAGCCACAGGGTGAACGGCTTACTGAGGACAAAGGAAATTTCCTAAGATTGCTAGTACAAGACCCTGAAGCCACGGACTTACATGCTTTAAATGGGAGATTTGTATGGTATTCAAATTACATCTCAGTAAAGCTGTCAAACAAATAAAGGCCAGTTCTGAGGAAACCTGTGGTCACATCTCATGTGCTACTGACAGGGCCCTCCCCCATCCCACAACACATGATAGCTTCCCAAAATTCTAGCTCAGGCCAGAAGGATGAGCTGAGCTCCTCGTGCTTTGAACAGCTAACCACCCAAAGGATGGACAACCCAAAGATGACCTCTCAGCAATCCTGTGCTCTGCATCCCTTCCCAGTCCTGCTGCTTCTATGGATGCAGCACTGTTTCCCTGTGTTAGGGAGCAAAAACCTCCACTCCCATGGAGGAGGCAGGGGGAGTCAGTCTCACAGCAGGGACTGGAGATACAGGCTGAAGTGAATCTCTAACTTGGGAGTCCCTGCAGGGGAGCCCCTTGGGAACTGGCCTCTGCGCCTCTACGTCTGTCTAAGAGGTCTGTACATACCTCCACCAGAGTCTTCAGAGGAACATTATTAGTCAGCGCCCAAGAGAAAGCCTCAGAGGAGGAGAGGGTGGGAGAGAGGGAGCCTGTGATAGGCCCACCCAGGGTGCAGGTCAGGGCCTGAGCTATAGCACCCAGCTGCACGCTTGTAAAGGTTAGGGGTTGTTTATTTGATGAGAAGAACAGAGTTGAGCAGCCTTGGGAGCCTTCTGAAACAAACGAAGTTATGAAGAAATAAAAGGATTTTGTTAATCAAAACACACACACACAACACAACACACACACACACACACACACACACACACACCACTAAAGCCAGTTAGTGGCTAAAGACATTACCAAAAATGTCTCAAATGCCTCTTGAGGTAGCAGCTGTACCAAGTGCTGGAAGGCTGGGACCAGACCATGAAAGATGTGAAGGGTGTTTCTGAGAGCCTGTTGTCACACCTTATGATCTTCATTCAATGCTCCATTCTTCAATATTCTCAGAGATCTGAAGAGCCCATGCCCATCTCCTCACTCCTAAAGACAAACCCCCCACCACATACACACAGCCCCTCCCCACACACACCCCCCTCTGGGTCACTGTCCAAGGTACACATTAGGCTGGTTCCAGGCTATGGTCTCCTAAGTGTGGGTTCCCCTCAGGCCCTTCAGCAACAGAATTTTCTTGAACTTTCTCTGCAACTCTTTCAGCTTTGCACTACTCTACTCAGAGTGCATCTCCTGTGTAAAGGGAAAGGACCAGCTTGCTTATGCCACAGCAAGCCAACCTCAGGATTCCTCTGCAGCCTGCCCAGAATCCGGGATACAGGAGACCTGCAAATGTGGGATTTGGATTCCAAAAGACAACTGCCCTCCACACACACACACACACACACACACACAGACACACACACACACACTTCACATAACTGGTGTTCAAAGCCAGTGTGTTGTTTTGTTAGAGTAATAAGAACAAAGGATGAAGGAGAAAAGACAGAGTAAAAAAGTAATGCACTGGGCATAATGCTAGCTATTCAGTATTCCCTCTCTTAATTTATCCCCTAAGAAAAACATTGAGTTAAAAACAAAACAAAGCAGTGGTGTGCTGATGCGGGCTTGTAGCAGTGTGTGAGAGCAAACACGTCTGCCTAGCTCCATGTTCAGAGTTGTTTCTGAGGTAGTTTGAAATCATTCCCCAGGGAATATTTATACCACAGAAAAAGGCAAACAGTGTGACCCAGACCTTTGCTTTTGGAGGGCTTGCTGTTAAACATTTACCAACTCAGTACTGAATCTGAATGGGCAAAAGGTGAAGTCCTATATGCGCCACACCCAATGGTAACCACTGTGATGTGCAAATATTACCTGTATTCTTCATCATTAGCCTGTGCGGTCAATGCTTCACTTCCCAAACACAGAAATAAAGGTAAAAGCAATGTGCCAGTACTACTAAGGCAGAATGAGACTACAGGCCACCAACTCCAAAGCCAGTGTTCTATTCTTTAGCAAAGCACTGCATCTTTAATAACAGAGCAAGGTCCCGTTTTACAGATGAAGAAATCAACAGGAAAGGCTCTATGGTTTGAACCTGGCTTTTCCTAAGATTGACGTGAACTTTCATTGTGATTGTGGCAGTGTTGGGGTTGAGTGGGTTAACGAGTCAGAGTGAAGACCGCGTTTCTCATAGTCTGAGGGTCCGTCTCACAAAAGCAGGTTATTAGAGCATCAGTCACCCTTCGTGCTTTCCCTTCTCCATGTACAGTCTCTGCCCTTCTACATTCTACCGATGCAATACAGGCCCCTCACCAGACGTAGCTGTGTTGCCCAGCACTCCCAGCCTTTAAACAGTGAGCCAAATAAACTTTGATTATAAACTTCCCAGGTTCTTACTGCATTAACAAAATGGACTAAAACAGAAGAACTGTCTAAATAACCAGTAGGCTCCCTAGGACTAAGGAGTGCTTAGTCCTAGTCCTCCCTAGGACTAAGTGTATACACAGTGGGTACTATGGATGTGGGCTTGATTCACCGCCTAGGTAGAACAACACATCACATCATGCTTCTCATTCTGGTGAGCAACTAAACACGTGAACTATTTATTTCAGGATTTTTCCAGTGAATGTTTCTGAACTTGTATTGACCACAGGTAACTGAAACCATGAAAATCAAACACAGGGTAAGAAGAAACTAGTGTATTTATAAAACAGAAGCCATCACTCACTAAATTCCATATTATCCATCTTTCCTTGGAGAACTGGTTGTTAAAAAACAAGCAACAACAACAACAAAATAAACTTAGCCCCTCCTGACATCACACTTTCCTGTATTCATCATACACACTGCGATACAGACAAACTTTTGTGAACCAATGTAAGATTATATTTATGACATCAATTATCATCTCAAGAATTTGAAGAATGGGCACCTTCATCACTTCCTGCCTGGCCCTCAGGTTCTCATCTGAACTGCCTCCATCCCAGATGGCAGAGGAAAAGGTAGGGCAAGAGCTCAAGAGATGCAAAGTTTGGGGCAATAAAATGATTCCCATGAAAGTGAAGTAATGGCTCTGGTTTCCCTGAGCAGCTGATAAACTGCTTCTAAAGTCAATACTGAAAATGAAATCGGTAGAATGCGGATAGAGTTTTGATCAAGATAAAAATCTAAGGAGAATTCTTCTGCTAAGTAAATTGTGAGCGCATAAACCAGTTCACGGCCAGTTGTTGAAAATGGCTGCTGTCAGGGGAAGGGCAGGTGGCATCTCCAGTTCACGATGCGCGCGGCACTTATTGCAGAAGTGGGGACATGGCTGGCTGTACGTATTTGAGATCACACTAGGTGCTGTGCACTTTTGGGTTTGCCCTGGACACCTTGCAAAGCTCAGGACCTGGACATTAAGAAGCAACAACTGGAGAAGGCTGGAAAGAGGAGACTCAGCAAGGAGGGAGGAAGGGCAGGGTTCTTGTGCATTGGGGATCCCTGTCCAGGATGCACAGGGAAGCTGCAGGAGCAGAGTGCTTTGAAGGCATCTGAGAGGCTTATTGGCAATCGATGCTACCTGTGCTCAGGAGAGAAAAATCCCACAGTGGGAAAAAGATGACAACCTTGAAGTTTGGTGTCATGGAAGAAATAGTAAGTCCCTAGGAAATGGCCTTCAGTTTCCCCAAA